GTCTTGGCTGTACATTCTTGGGCTAATTATTTGAAGCCGTGGGATCTTCATGTAACAAGAGGGTCGGCATCTGCACAGGGCTGTATGTGGGGATAAAATGTCATAGTCTCTGCAAAGTGCCCAGCACAATGCAAATGCTATTGTCACTACTGGGACGGTGATGATGCTACCATCCGGACACTCACAGTGAAACCTGGTTTGCTCTTAGATTTACATTATTAACTTAAATGATCGGTGAAGAAGATACTAAACGTTTTGTGTATATTTAAAAACTGTACACTAACTGCCCAGACATAACTGAATGGTATAAGCCTAGGAAGTCTAGGAGTCGTTCACTGTGCTCTTACAATGTGTGAGTTGTGGAAAATACAGAAATAAGAAAATGACCTTGGCCCTCGAGTTTACAAGATAAACACAGATAGCTAATTTCAATGATCATAAAATATGGCATCATAGAGGGACGTTTATGGAGAATCCCCTGGGGGACTTGGGAATTTAGGGGCCTTCTCTTTGAAGGGTTCCTCTCATCAGATCACCAACAGGAATTAACACGCGAATCTCCTTCAGTTAGGTCCCACGCCCACGTGTGATTCTCTAATGTTCTCAAAATATAAAACTCTACTTCACATCTGTGACCGTGTGTGGTTGGATAAAGCTGGCAACATTTACAATGAAATAAGGACCTGAAAAACTTTCAAATGGCTTTGACCGTCTTTCTCAGAAAAGAATACTGGAATACTGCCCCTAAGGGGTGTGAAACCAGTGTCCAGTTAAATTATCCTTATTACACCTCACAAGTTAGTGGAAGAGAAAATCATCTCAGACACCTGGTGAACTAGCCAGTACAAGCACCTGGGGGGAGAAGGCTCCTTTGCACAGGGAGCATCTAATTGATAAAGAGTTTACCAAAACAGATCCAGCAGGCGAACCAAGGACTGAATGCGTTGCCATGCGCAGTGGACTTGGGTTCACATTCTCGAAAGAAGCCTGCACAGGTCAATGAAAATGAATAGTTCAAGTAGTAAGATTATGAGCCACCGGAAAGTGCTAATATGTAGTTACTGGGTTTGTTAATCCAGCAGATAGGCAGATGGTAAGGAGATCTTAGAAATCCTCCTTGGGACGATTCTATAAAAGACTCGATATCCCCTCTCCATTAATATACCTACCACGTGGCACCTACTTGACGGTTTCATCATTTCATTTGGTTAAAACAGAGAAAGATATGTGCATATATACACTCTTAAACCACAGGTAGCCTGAATTTCACAGTAAGATGATTCTGCAAGTTACCATATTGAAGTCAGTTTTTCTTACATTATACACTGTTGGTTCGGCGCTTTTACGCCTTCCAACACAAAGTGTGCAGGATCCCTAAGGGAAATGCTTAGGCATTGTATTTTCACCACCATCACAGTGCAAGAAAAACCCTTTGCACTAAATCTCTTGCACTAAGTCTAGAAAATGCTTTGTCATCAGGGCCCTAAATGTCTCTCAAATATTCCTAGATGAAATCCCAAATGGACAAATTCAACTCAGGTGCTTTAGAAACGGCAATAACANATGAAATCCCAAATGGACAAATTCAACTCAGGTGCTTTAGAAACGGCAGTAACAAAAACCGGCAGAAGACGCCAGGGAGCTGAATAATACTAAAGTAATTTTATGATTACTGATCTCTTACACACAATGGAAAGCAAGTAAATACTCTTTAATGGCAGCAGCTTAAATTGGTTCAGCTCGTCCCAGTTTTCAAGGAGCTTTTTAAATATACCATCTCATCTTATCTGGTCCCTCCCCACCCTTCACTCACAAAGGCGAGCAAGGAACAGAGGATTCTCCACACTAATTTATACAACCAGAACCCACAGAGATTAGGTGAACTGTCAAATAACTAGACGACACAGCCATGCCTTCTGACCCCTAGTCCAGCATCCTTTCAACCGCATGCTATTAAATACAGAATTACTAAGTATCAACTAATGGTAATGTGATTATTCCACCTCAGGAGTCTCCTAAACTCACTGGTGCTTCTCAGCTTTCAGTTATAATTCCTAAGTAACTACTTTCTAGGTTTATGTTCAAATAGGAAAAATCATATATTTTGCCTAAATAAGAAGGCACTAATCGCAATGATTTGATATCATACTACATCCATCTGACCTCCACCACTTGTTCTACCCTGAGGCTAAAAGCAACAGTCAGCTGCTGAGCAGACAGGTTGAATCTGCCAGGAGCAACTCCTCTCAGCTCCTCTCCGCCAATCACTGAACTATCTGCACCAAGTCAGTGAACTTAAGAGAAATGGGTGAGTATTTTTCAGAGCCCTTTCTTGTATCTAACAGTGATCAATGACAAATTCAAAGCTACAAATATGAAATTCGAAAAAACACAAATTCAAGCATAGTTAATACTTAATGACAAAGAAAACTACATTTGAGTAGAGAGAAAGCAGGCGCTGAGGAAATCACCTCCAAACTTTCCCTCCACCCATTTTATTCAGCTATTGAGGGCCAACCAGGGCAGGCACAGTGCTCTGGAAGGACAGAGTGAAATAAGAAACACGGCTGACTGGGTGGGTACCCAGGGCTGGACACTAGGACAGCTGCTTTATGAGATTTGGCTCCTTTAACAAGCTGGTAAGGTGGTATTATTATATCTCTGTGCTATAGCTGAGGAAGCGGAAAGTTTCCAAGAAGCACAGCAGGCAAGTGTCGGTTCAGACCCAGGCCCGCGGATGCCAGAGCCTGTGCGCTAACCCAGGCTCCGCAACCTGCGACTCTGGGGTCAATTCCAGCGGCCACCTGTTTCAGTGTGACCCTAAGAAGGGTGTTACATTTTTAAATGTTTGGGGGGGGATCAAAAGTAGAGTATTGCAAACTTCAGTGTCCATAAATTAAAACATGGTCACATTTGTCACTGACATGTTGGCTGTGGCTGCTTTCACGTTACAATGGCAGAGTTGAGTGGCTGTGACAGAAACCACACACAGCCTGCAAAGCCGAAAACAGTTACTATCTGGCCCTTTACAGAAAAATGTGCTGACTTCTGCTCCATGGTTACTTAACATCTCTATCTGGATGTCTTAGAAATACATCACACTTAACATACCCCAAATCAAACTCCTGATTTCCTCCACTACACACACCCAGATCCACAGTTTAGGTCTTCCCTGGAGAAAACCCATCCTGTGTAAAATTACATCCTATGTAGAAATCACAGACCTACCTCTTTCTTCCTTTCATTCATGATCAAAGCTATAAGCAAATCTGGTCAGCTGTGCCTCTGAAATATCCAAAGGTATTTCTTTCCTTCCACTGCTCAGCACCAACCCTTTTCTGAATCGCTGCCATAACCTCTTACTAAAACTTCTGCTTCATTTCTTGCTCAAGACAGCAGCCAGAATACTCTTCCGCTCACAAACCCTCTGGACTTTCTAAGCATGCCAACCACACCCCTGCTCCGGGTTCTGGGGCTCCCCCATTACTGCAGACCTCTTCCCAAATGCCATCCTACTAGACAGGCCCACCCTCTCCACCTGACCCTGAATCTCCACGTCTAGGCCCTGGGACACCCTTTCCCTTGCTTTATTGTTTGCCACACTATCTCAACCTCCCATACTATACATCTATCTATATGTATCTATATCTATCTATATAACTATATCTACACACACACACACACACACACACACACACACACACACACACACACACTGGGTTTTCATTGTATTTAGGCTCCATGAGGGCTCATTTTCTTCAGGAGTGTATCTCTGGCACTAGACCAGGGCCTGACATACATCAGGTACTTAAGTATCTGCTGAATGAATGAGAAGACCGTCGTTACGGTCAAGAAGCACTCAGTTCCGTGACATACAGACATGGCTAAACATCTTCAACACATAAATAATTGTATTGATGATATATTTCTTATTTTACCTACTTTGTTATTAAACACCCTATTCTAAACAAATCAAATGCTGGGGGTCTCAATCAAAGGGGAGAGAAAGCTAGCTTGGCAATATCATGGTCTGTGCATGAAATCATTCCAGACAAATCTACTTGATTGCCCGGGGGCACTGGTCACCTGCTCAAAGTCCCATTCTTACCTTGTGTTTCAGCCTTAATTCCTTCCTCTGCATCTCTGTCCAATTCTAGGTGTATGTTGACCACAGGTACTACCTCAACTCCTCCTAACTCTTCTTCCTAAGTCTAATATTCAACTCCTGTCCACCACTCTTGAAAGAGAGATCCATTTCTTAGCCACAAATGCAGTGAAACTGAGTTTTCACAAAGACAATATATCCTTTAAAACACTGTCATTTTTAAGAACGTGCTCAAGTTTAGTTGATGTTTAGGGGAATTAAAAGTAACACTCTAATAGAATTATACACTTGAGATCTATATAATTTTATTAACCCATTAAATTCAATAAACATTTTTTAAAAGGAAGAGGGAGCCTGGCCGGGTGTGGCTCAGTGGTTAAGCATCGACCTAGGATCCAGGCGATCAGGGTTCGATCCCGGTCAGGGCACATGCCCGGGTTGCGGGCTGCAGCGGATCAATGACTCTCTCATCATTGATGTTTCTATCTCTCTCTTTCCCTCTCCTTTCCTCTCTCTGAAATCAATAAAGATATATTTAAAAATAAAAAAATAAAAAGGAAGAGGGAAAAAAACTATTAATAATAATAATAAAGAGTAGTACTCTGCTGTGTAACCTAGGGGCAGTGCAGTTTCTACATATTTCATGAAGAATATTTGAGGGAGGTTTGCAAGTGGTTAAAATGCATCAATGAACCAGTAAGGCCACCATACTCAAAACTATCACAGTAGAAGTGACATTCCCTTGTGAGAATGATCTGCCTGCTTGGCTTCTTCACTTCCAGGTCACTTTTTAAATAAGAAAAACAGTTATAGTTTTAACTTATTCATTTTTAAAATAAATATATGGGAAAGCTGCAGATGTGGTAAAAGAATCAATGACAAGAAATAGTCATACCCTCTCCTCCAGTCTAGCCAGCTGCTCTTTGTAGAACGCATCCTGCCTCTTTATCACTCGATCTTTCTCTTCCAGCAGCTTAGCCTAAAAAAAGACATGAAGAATATACTATGTTAGGAAAAAGCAACAGCAAAGCAAAAGTCAAGTATAAATTACATTAGAAATAAGTGTACAAAGCTGAAAGCTTCTGCAGACTCTTAGGTCTCTGCCATGGAGAAACATTAATAAGATGATGATTGCTGTATTTAAATGTAAAGAATGACTCTACATTGGTTTTTTCTTTTTTACTGTAACAGCTGTGTCCTACTTTGTCCAAATGTATCATAATACAGCAGAGATTGTTTTATTTAAATTCTCTTTTGGAGAGTAATTTCAAGGATTAATATTTTGCACAATAAAACTTTGATTTTTAATCTGGGAATAATATACTCAGTTTTCAGCCTTTCTTGAAAAACAAAAAACATGCCTATGTAACACTGTGTATGTAAACTTTGTGCTTGAGAACCCTTAAATTAACCAGTGAAACCTGAATATAAATACATGTATTGGTCTATTTCCCTTTTTATGAAGCAGCTGTCTTTAGACGGAGGGCCAAAAACTACTATAAATGTTTATGTAAATAATTAAAAGTTAATAATGAAAGTAATCTAAAAATCTCAGTTTTCCCACTTCTAATTTATAAGATCTTTTTTATAAAATAAAAACACAATAAAATATTTTTGATCCTTGAAAAACATAGTGATAAAGATAGTTACTTCTTTTTTCTAGATTAGTAAAATACTGCTTTTTCAAACTATTGTTTATATCTTGATCATTATGTTTTTAAGTGACCTTTCTCTCCCTGAGGGAACAGAACTCCCTGTATCACCCCAAGTAGGAAAAATTTTAAACGTATTTTTTATTTGGTGAATGCTGAATATACACCTGATCAGGAATTCTAATAAATTACAGAAGAATATATTTTGGCATTGCCATCCTTGGGCCATGCACCATTTTATTTGCAAGGTGATCAAGTGTCACCTGGCTCAACCCCTGTAAGGGTGACTTCTATCTACTATAATGCTTAATTTAAGAGAACCCATTTGCACATTTGTAGGTCATTGTTTTGCTACTTACTTTGACTTCAATGTCCTGCAGCATGTTAAAAACAAACAAATAGTTATTTAGCAATTTAAGTACTGTTTTTTTCCCTAATGTCAGAAAGAAACCAGATGCATCATATCTACCTAAAACTCAAACCAAAGAAGGCAATAGGGGGGAAAAGAGGGACTTGCTTAACTTGGGAGACATTTAAATGTGACTAGGCTATTAGTTTAAATAGAAGATTTCAATGAAAAGGTCATGCTCCTTGAAAGCATATGAATAAATAAAAACAAATACAATATTAAGATTTGGTAAGAATACATTCATACGTAAGTACATAATCTACGGCTCCTCGGTACAACACAGTAAAAACCTGCTAGTCAGGAATATCAAAGAAAAAATAAATGGAGAAAGAATGTTTAACAAAGCTAAGTGGTAAGAAAATATGCACAACTATATATATAATCTATAGAGAAAAGAACCTTTCGAAATTCAACACAGACACCCAAAAAATAAAATAAATGAAAAAGAATGGACTATAAGACCCTCCATAAAATTTAAAAATCATTAAACCAAATGAAAAGCAAATGACAAGAAGAGGAAAAGATATTCCAGCATGCAGCTGTGAGCTAATGTTATTAACACAGAGAACACTTAAAAAATAAGCTCTCTACCCCACCCGCAAATGATACAGACTGGTAAATCACACACAGAAATACAAAAAATAAAAACATGGAAAAATAAAACTCAACCACAGAAGAAATCAAAGAATGAAAATTAAAATAATTATTTGTCTATCCAACTAACAAAAATATAAAATAATGTTGGTAAGGATACAGGAAAACAGGCTTTTCTATGCACAGTTGGTCGGAATGGAAACCGGTATAACTACTTTTTAAATCAATTTGACAAAATCTAATATGGCTTAAAAATGTATACATTCACTGAGATCTAAACACTATTTTTAGAACTTTTCTTAAGTAATTATAGCAATATGCAAAGATGTTCATAATAGGATTGTTTAGAATTGCAAAGAAACAAAAACAAAAATGAATCCAATTATTAAACACAAATATACTAAGTAACAAAGGAAAAAGACTATAAACAGAAAAAACAGTATGATCTCTTTTTTTTATAGGAAAGAGGGGAAAAAAAGACCAAAAGGATATTCAACAAAAATATGATCAGAGGTTACAGCAGGGTGGTTTCCAGTTAATTTTGCTTCTTTATATTTTCCAAATTAAAAATAAACACACTCTGTAGTCAAGGGACACAGGAGGCAATTTTTTTGAGGTGAGGGAACGATTCTGTTTCCTGATTATGGTGGTGGAAAACTTGTAGAGCTGTAATATTACAAAGAATGAATTTACATACTGAATACAAATTTAGCAGACTAGAGTTTATGAAAATATCTACATATAAATATATACATGTATGTGTGTATATATCTTTATTACTGTTAATCTGCTATCACTTGGCCGATTTTACTTCTAGGCATTTAATCCTAGGAAATACTGGGAAAAGCAAACAAGGATTTATATCTAAGAAAATGCAGCCAGCATTATTTAAAGCAACAAACAAGTGGGAATGACAGAGGTTTGTGTAAATAAGATTTGGGCCAACAACAGGATATTGATTATAAAGATTTTAATCTAGCCATAATGATCAAACATCGATAGCCATTAAAAATAATGTTGTAATAGAATAATTAATTTTTAACTCAAAATATTATATGGGGGGAAAACAGGTCATAAAATAGCATGTATAGTAAAAGTTTCAGTTTTTTGGTTAAGAAATTGAGGTTAGGGAGCAAAAAGGAGGAACAGCCTAGTTATATAGACATGGAAAAAAATATAAAGCATGCTAAGATGTCAACAGTGGATATGACATATATAGAGGGATATTTTCCTTATTTGGACTATTTTCTATTGTCCAAATTTTCTGTGATGAACAATTACTTCTGTAATCAGAAAAATATTTTAAACATTACTATCACATTTATCCCTGACTGAGATGAAAACATTTATGAAGCTGAGAGTGTGAGCTATTAGCAACCATATTAACAACCAAAAGAAAATTATTTTAATAACGTGAACAGTAATTTACAGCATAGAAATTATTTTACCTACTAAATCCTTAATGTATTAACACTCAATTCTCTTTCCCATTCAATGTATGACATTACCCACCATGGTTCTTAAAACACTTGCACTAAATGTTTCTTTTGTTCGTGTAGAGTTGCACAGTGAGATTTTTAAAAATTCAATACTACAAGACTATTACTCGAGTCTATTGAGGGCTGCACCAACAAATTTAACTTTGAGGGTCTGACTGGGACCTAAATAAAGTACCCTCGTTTATATTTTCTAAATGTCATCCTTGAACATTTTAACGCAACATGCCAGAAGATCAGACATGCACACTAAAGAGGAACTACTTCCAAAGACCCGACAACACCCAACTACAGTCTACCACCACACAGCTCTGCCTCGATGGCCACCAGAATCAACAGTCTGAGATCACAGAGAGGGTAACAAAGCCACAACACTTGAACGGCACATTGCTCTGAAACGGTTAATGTGATGCTGGTGGGGAAAGTCACACAATATGAATCCTAAAACTTAAATAAGCCTGGAATACACTGACTGGGTTAATAGCTGCCAAGGATGGAGGGTCACACTCAACACCGGGAAAGGCAGTAAACCAAGCGCAGGGAAATCAACTTCCACGTGTAAGTCTGAGAGATACAGAATCATTGTAAGTGAACAAATAAACACAAAGGGGATCACAACATTATTTACTGTCCTAGCAGAATCATTTCTTAGGGAAAATGAATATGAAAAAGTTTCCCCCGGCCTCCTATTTGCTATTCCTCCCACTACACGAACTGTGCACTGATTAGCTTTCAGATTCTGTTAGATTTGGGCTGAAATGATTGGGCTTGAAAACATGACAGAAAGAGCTTACATGAATCATTATGGAAACTAGAACGTTCCATATGCAAGAGAAACTAAGAAAATCAAGTTTTCTTTAAGAACCCCAACACATAAACATGTTGACAGCTAGATTCAAAATGCAATACGTAGGATTTACTTCCTTAAAGACCTGCCTCGTTTCAGAGAAGATTGAAAAGTGTATGCACTCCACAACCTCCTCTTCATTCACTGTTGGTTTTACTTATTTATTTCAAAAAACCACTTATCTTTGCCTATGTTTTCTTTTTTCAAGAGAACAAGCAGATATGTCCCAAAGTGGCAGAGGACAGTTTTTGAAAATGTCCTAGAAAGTGCTTACATCAAAGGATATAAAAAGGTCAAAAGAAGGAAAAACTGGGACTACGGGGATGGCATCTTGGGCTGGTAGGAGCTTTACCTTCCCTTGTGTGCTCCTAGGAAAATCTTCATGGCAACAGCGCTTTGGCATAGTGGCTCAGCTCTCTCAGGCCTGGTTGCTCCTGGGGCCTGAGGTATCTGTCGCTCAGGTACATGGCATTTGGAACCCAGTGACATCACAATCTCTTAGCTCAAAAGTAGTACTGTTACTTCATACACCAAGTACAAGGCAGGTTAAGGAAAGATTCTTTGCTATGGAAAAGCTTGTACATTTTAAATGACAAAGTCCCTTGAAATGTCAGTGTTCAATTTTAATAGCTCAAGGCAGAAAACAAAGCAGGAGCCGGCTCAATTTTCCACGGGCTGGTATTATAAAGCCAGAGATTACTAGGATTGAGAAAAGGCAAGAACTGTAAATCAATACAAATAGGAAATCCTTATAACTCATTTCCTGTCGTTCTAAATCTTCTAACAAATCTGAAACACACTTATAACGGACTGGGGAAGATTTAACCTTTCACAATGATATGGATAATCTGTGGTAGACAAAATAAATCTCTATCTATCTATCTTACAACTCAAGCAAACAAGAGCAGGGAAAAGAGCGTTATTCCTTTTCAGAATTATGTATAAAGCACAATAGATAGGAACCTAATAAAAGTATATGCT